ATACTGACTTCAATGACTGAGTGAATATCTAATCATTTTTGGACTGTCGAAATTCCACGACCGGATGTGTGTGATTACAATCCGTGAATTTGGCATTAACCGTAGGTAACCGTCCATTGGTCGATTATGTTAATACAGTGCATGATTTAACCTATCCAGGCGTCCGAACACATCAGTCCACGGATGTGATACCCCCGGGTGAACACGAATGCGATCCGCGGTGACTGACTGACTGATTGACACTGTGCTGAGTGGAGCCGCCGGAATTGAGGAAAAATAAATGAGATGCGTGATTTCACTTGAATAGTGAACAAGTACGTAGACGTACATTATTCAGCTCACGTTCATCTGTATCCTCTACGAAACTGGTACTGATATCCGCACTAACCGCGTACATCACTTGACGCTTTTGAGTGACATCTGAAACTACGCTCGCGCAGCATTCCAGATGAGAAAGCAGTCAATGGAGTTCTCAAACAGATGCCTGTTCAACAAGAACAGAGTAACCCAGCGTCCAAAATTGCATCACTAATCAACAATATCGGCCCGAAAGGAGTGGGGGAAGTGATGGGAAAGCCAATGTAAGCTTCTTGGTCCATATTACAATCACGTAGCTCAGATCGGGGGAGAAAAACAATTATCATAAATAAAATCGGCAATAAATAATTTGTTGAAAGTAAAACTGGAATCCAGCTATTTGTCAATTCTTGGTTTGACTTATGGAAGGGAAGGTAGGTAGGGTGATCGAAAAAATCCGTGAGACTTAGAAAGGTGGCTGACAAATAACATTGAATTGCGAAATGCTACGTAAACAACAATCAAAGCGTCACGCAATTGAAGCTGAACATTTTTAAGAAAAGCAATATCCGATGCACTGTCTTTGGTTCACAAAAATATATGCACCAGTTTTACAATAGCAATTACATTGGAGCATTTCTCTATTCTATTAATACCTCTTCGACATAGAACAATAGTAATTGTAATATCGTGAATTACTAATTACATTTTTGAGTATTGTGTACGGTGCGCTCACAGAGAATTGATTAGTNTTAGTGTGTTCTCACGGTATCTTAAAGCAGATTGAAAGATTTGCTATTGCAACTACAAAAGGTGTGAGGAGTTTGCTCAACTGTTTGACCACTGATAAAACATGAAACCATGAAACATCAGTTACAGATCAAATGTTCTATTCTCTATAATCCATTCAACCTCTATTCCACGTCGTTGTTTCAATAAGGAACATTCGCAGTCCGGCACTGGTCTTGTGGGATTATAATTGTAACGGTTAGGCAACCAGTGTTAGTAGTTTTGTGAGATACTACTCACTTGTGAGTAGTATGTAACATTGTGATTTCTTTCAATGATGAAAACTATAACAAGACCATCAAGAGCCAAGTGATGTTTGGAAGAATAACTACTGACTGCTCCATACATTACCCTGTGTATGGGAAATAATTGAGATGGTTGTACGTTTCTGATTAGGTTTTTGTGTTATGCATGCCAAATTGCTGACGTCCCATTTGTAATCCTCAATAAATGAGTATCCTCCACCAGCACCGCCTTGTAGAATTATAACAACTGGGGTCGTCGTGTTCTCGATAGAGAAAGTTTGATTTGCTGTGCTGTCAACTTGCGGCTCGTGTTCCATCTTCGCCGTATTCAAGGCTTCTAATGACCCAGTTGACTAAAGTTCTGCCATATAAACTGCAGCACATGTATCCGACAAACATGGCACTTTCTGATCGCCAATCTCCATATGGGTCTGGACTGAACGATGATCATTCGTCCCACAGGGAGCCTTGTCCGAGAAAAACGATTTGAACAAAATCAGGGATTCTCTGGGGAACCACTTGCGCTGTGTTTCGGAGCAATTTTCTACCAGCACTCTGCATCTTAGAGCTCAAAACCCCTTTCTTAAGAGCCCTCTGGTTGGAATCGATTTGAATCGCTGCCACCTCCGTTAGTTTCTTGAGATTTGCCGCACTTCCAGTAGACTGGCGTCCAGGATCTTCGGTTGACTGAACCTGCGTGAATTTCTTTCAAGTGAATTCTCGCAGGACGTTCGCCAGTTTCAATGCATCCATGGTTTTCTCGGCGTTAATTATCCATGCCTTCTCCCGCAAGTCCTCTGGCAAGCTCTCCACGAAGCAGTCAAGCAGTAAATCTGAATTTGTGACATCATCTAACGTCGGGAGCGCAGGATTCAACAGAGCGCGCAGAGCCACGACATTTGTTAGTGGATCGACGCCAACTCCGAGCTGCGCNNTCCTGAAGCTCTGCAATGCCCGCTGGCGGTCGGCCGGGGTGTCACAACCCACAATCAAGGCGTCATTCTCGGTGGTCCACTCCATCTTCTCCGGGCTTCCACGAGCCGCATCCAACAATGCCCGCGCCCGGCCCTTGAGAAGCGCTCGGAGGGCCGTCAACGTGCCCCTGTCCGTCCTTATCCCCGCCAGCTCTGAGACGTGCCCAAACTCTTCCAGGAACGCTCGTGCGTCTCCACCCTCGATAGCTTCAGCCCATGGAACCTTCATTCTGATTCTAGCGACGGCCCCAGTTGTTATAATTCTACAAGGCGGTGCTGGTGGAGGATACTCATTTATTGAGGATTACAAATGGGACGTCAGCAATTTGGCATGCATAACACAAAAACCTAATCAGAAACGTACAACCATCTCAATTATTTCCCATACACAGGGTAATGTATGGAGCAGTCAGTAGTTATTCTTCCAAACATCACTTGGCTCTTGATGGTCTTGTTATAGTTTTCATCATTGAAAGAAATCACAATGTTACATACTACTCACAAGTGAGTAGTATCTCACAACAGCAGTGGTAGCAACGACAGCACGGGCAGTGTTTTAAATCCTCGAAGCCAGTGTCAGACTGAGAGCTGATAGTAAAGAGAATGGCTTGGGTTGTGAGTGAGTCCAGTTACATAGAAGGAAACACGCAATCTGAAGTAGTCAGATCACGGTTTCATGCAAGACACGGGATTAATGGTGATCAAACACTTCGGTTGGGTTCACATCATTGTTTGCAACAATATTAAATCCACTAATTCATTCCCGAACGTGTCGTTCACTCTTGAATAATATGTGACCTGGCCATCCTTAGTAGGAATGAAATCTCTGTTGTTTATCTTTCGATGGGTTCCACCCCGTCAATTTATTCAACTTCCTGTACAGAGAGCTGCCAAACTGGTGAGTGAGAACACAACTGGATATAGTAAGGTGCTGGTAGAGGCACCCTCAACGTTGAAAATATGAGAGCCGATTTGCGTTCAGCAGTGGTTTAATGACTTGTTCGTTAAAAGGATAGATAGATGAATAATAGAGATTTAAACCAGATCAACGAGTACGTTATGTACGTAGAACGTGTCCATTTGTCTTGAACACTAGATTATATTGATCAGAATCATTAAGAAAGCACGTGCTGTAGACACAAGAGTTACGTTTGGAACAGACCGGCAGAGAAAGACTCAAACAGTATGTGTCGTGTACTAAGACAATTTGGATTAGGATAATGTTAACAAAACCATTATTTATCTTCCACGTATTCACTATTCAGTTCGGTAATGCTTCAATTATAACGAGGGACGATTTGAACAGTATCATAGAAGGTCCTCATCGAAGGGAATACACCTAAAGCCTCTGTTAAATGCTGTTCGGTTTCACAAGAAAATCCCCACAGCAAAGTTATTCAATACTATCGCTTTACGCAAATTCGTATGTTTCGATCAGATGACCTTGAAGCTGGCTCCGATTCCTCGAAAACCATAGGGTGATGAAGTAAAATAGTGTACATCTGGAAACTTATTTTTCTTCGGACGTCTAATGTGTGTGTGTCTTGAACCTGTAAGATCGTTTTCAAACACGCAGGTGGCCTGATAGAAGCCGTGGGTCGAAATTGTTTCTGCTTCTGTCAGTCAGGCAGTCTTGAAAATGGTTTTCAGAATTCAGCAGGGTGTGTAAATTATTTTCCAAGTATGAATATTTGTCTTTTGCCTGATGCCAATGACTTATGCAGGTCAAAATTGGTCTCCATTTGCTGCCGAAATTTTGTCATAAAGTCATATTCGATTACCTGTCCTTCTTAAAAAGCAATTTAACGTTATCAAGGGCAAGTTTGTTTATATCCTATTCTCCTCAGAGCTGAGGAGTTTTCAATTGGATATTTTGTCTGTGATTTGCCAACAAACGCGATTGGCTTTCTTCAGTTGCACGATGAGAAACAGGCTTTCCTAATATAGATAGCCTGCGTTGCGCTTTGGTATAAGAGAGGCAAAAGAATTCTGGGTTCGTGGACATCGATCCCGTAGGACACGAAGGGCTCGTCAGATAAATCCAACACAATAAGTTGCTGTCACTGGTGTGTTCAGATTAAGGTTCCAGGTTTGAACTCCATCCCCGTTACCATGAATTCGATAGTTCGAGACCAAGTCTAACCTGTAACATGGCCGTATAAGGCTGGCAATTCCAAGCTCATGGGTTTAAGTTGATAGTTTAGGTGAATGAACAGCGGCTGACAAACATGATTCTTGAGTTCACGGCCTAAACTGCTCATCTCATTAATGTGTGTATTAAAATAAAAAGGAAACAAATTGAATAAATCACCTAACCATTTTTTTCTCTGTGCAATAATTTATTGAAATGAAATTTGATGATCAAGCGAATTTATTCTACTCCACGGTGTCCAGTACTCAAGCATTATTACCCTCAAAGTAAACACTCATAAGCAATAATATAGTACACTTTTTGGTTGATTATGTTTCGTGATAGCTCGCCAATGGAAAATGCATGAACCGAAAATCGTTTGCATTGAAAGTTGCAATAGTCNACAATAGCATGAGCCAACTCGATAGAATATAAGAGGTACTGGGTGTTTGCTACTTCGATGATATTGATTGTCGAACATATTCTTGTTTTTTACTTCGAGTGCATAGAATTCACGCAACCAGTTGATTTCTTAATCAAAAATTAATATTTATATTTTTTTATTCATGATTTCTCAAGCAGTATATCAATAACTGGAACAGGAAATGGAAAACCAAATAGTATATAGACCTAGGTCAATTAAAACTTCAAAGTCAACAGCGAATGCAATGGAGAGAAGAGAAAACATTTCATGTTGCCAGTGTGAAACGTACCACCTTGGACTCCTCGATGTGCTGCTGGATCAAGGCAAAATCCAGTCAGTGAGTGAAACAGTTCCATCAGATCGGTAACATTCATCGAGGCAACCATACGACTGACCACACGAACAAACAAGGCTCGATTCAGCTCATATAGGTGGATAAGGCAGTCGTGAACTAATTGACGTGCATCGCCGGCATCTTGAGCCAGACGGTCTTNAGCCAGACGGTCTTTGGTCGCCTGATCCGCATGGGCTTCTCGTGAGCCGAACATTGGGGACCCATGGTGACCGTAACTGCAGCCCAGTAGACGTATAATTCTTTTCAAAAACATGTGAGAAGAAAACGAGACATCAGGGAATAATATTTTGTTCGAGGTAACGTGTGGATAGGGCAAGCGTTGGGAGAATAAAGAGACAGTTCTTCAACTCTCTCGTCAGCTAAATATGAATCTCATATTTGAAGAGCGAACTTCGTCTGATCAAACAAATAGT